GGCCATTAATTGTGGTTTTTGTTTTGTGTTCGTATTTAACGAATGCCAATCAAAGAGCAGTTGTCATTTAGAAGAGAGTCGACCCTTTTGAACTCCCCGCCCCCACTCTCTCTCTCTCTCTTTCCTCTCCCCTTTTGCCCAGTTCCCCCTCCCTACTGTCTAGCCTTTAATGATTATTGGGCTTATCTGCCGCTTATTCAATGCTCGTTGGTCCGAACAACATTTTTATGGCCCACACTTGAACAATTTATGGAGACAACCAAGTGATTTGACTTTGTTTTTCTTTTTGCTTTTTGGTCAGTTGTACGAGGAAGACAATCTTATCGGTAAGCACATGTGTAAGACTGGGTAGTACAGTTCTAATACTCATGTACTCGTGCTGGTTGCTATCTCAATCAGTTGACCGAGAAGTTAAGTACAGCAGAAACTGATTAAAAGCAACTCTGCCTAAGAAAAAATGTCAATAGATTCTATTTAAAAATGTAATAAAAAAAAAAACAATTTTTAAACTATCTTGAAACTACGTAGGGTCTATTAATGATCAGATTTTGATCTATCTCCAGTTTATTGATAGTTTTTAAATGTTATGGTTTGTCTACCTTTGACTTATCCTTTACATACCCGTAGTACAGCTATGGTCCACTTATGGTCTATCTGTCGTCTATCTATGGTCACCCTGTGGTCTGCTTAATGTTTCTGTATAGTTTCTCTGAGGTATATCTAAGATCTACCCATGATCTACCTGTGTTCCATCTTTGGTCTAGATATGCCTTAACTATGGTCTATCTATGATCTGTCAATTGTATATTTATGATCTTTCTACCTATCCATATTGTCTATCTATGGTCTGTCTATGGTCTGTCTATGGTTTATCTATGGTCTATCTATGGTTTACCTATGGTCAATCTATGGTCAATCTATGGTCTATCTATGGTCTATCTATGGTCTATCTATGGTCTATCTATGGTCTATCTATGGTCTATCTATGGTCTATCTATGGTCTATCTATGGTCTGTCTATGGTTTATCTATGGTTTACCTATGGCTTACCTATGGTCTATCTATGGTCTATCTATGGTCTATCTATGGTCTATCTATGGTCTATCTATGGTCTATCTATGGTCTATCTATGGTCTATCTATGGTCTATCTATGGTCTATCTATGGTCTATCTATAATATATCTATGGTCTATCCATGGTCTATCCATGGTCTATCTATGGTCTATCTATGGTCTATCTATGGTCTATCTATGGTCTATCTATGGTCTATCTATGGTCTATCTATGGTCTATCTATGGTCTATCTATGGTCCATCTATGGTCGATCTATGGTCTATCTATGTTCCATCTATGGTCTATCTATGGTCGATCCATGGTCTAGATATGGGCATCCCATGGGCTGCTTAAAGTTTCTCTATTGCCTATATCTATCTGCGTCTATTTAAGTTGTCCATCAAAAGTTATTTTATGATCACTTCTTCGAATGCCCAATTGTAGAATTAATAAATTTTATCTAAGGTCTTTCCATCTAAAAATCATATATCATTTATCCATGTTAGAAAATAAATACAGCATGTATTTTCTAATATTCCTAAGTTGGCTGCAATTCCCTCAAAATGTTTTTTGACTGTACCTCCATAAAAAAGAAAACGCTGTCACAGTCTCAGATACGCAGCGTATTATCTGCCCGACATATTGTTACTTACGGGAACTTATCAGCCTTAGACGCGCTGCTTGTTTATGCCGTATTTAACTAGTGTTATTTCTGAAACATACACACAAATATACAAGCATACTCGTGTGTACATATAAGTGTATATACAAAGTTTTAATGCGGCAATCAAACGCTTGTTAACACATGCGGCGTATACGCAACGATAATGCGACAGCCTCAAAAATTATGCTACAATAAATTAAAAAAATGATATGAGTGCTTAAATGGGGAAAATGGTTTGTGGCTGTGTGGATGGCGGTTGGCGGTGGATGGAAGGTGGAAGGTTCGGCAAAGAATGCAATTGCTTGGTTTCCGCTTATCGATTTATAAAACAACAAAAAATAAAAACCGAAACAGGCACGTTATGCGGTTGAGTGGTTGGGCGATGGGGTGGTGCAGCATAGCTGTAGCCACACACACACACACACACACACACACTCACCAACGCACCGCATTTCATTATGCTGACCGATTATGACACTTTTTAATGGCATTTTCTTTGCCTTTTGCTTTTATGCTATTGATTTCTGTTACGTTGTGGCAATTTTTCAAGAGGGGGTGGTTGGGTGGTGCTGATTGCATTTTGGCAGTTTCGCTTTGTGCATTTAAGAAAAAATGCTTTCAATTCGAATTCATATTGTCTGCCCTGTTGCTCTTCGAAGCCATATGCTGGCGGCGCTTTTCTCAAACAATCTAGTGGTCTGTGGAGGGGTGCGCAGCAAATGTTGGAAAATTGCTGTGTAATTGTTTGGAAAATGCTGGAAATGATGATGATTTTTTATCAATTGGCGCACTCCAGATTATGCGAACTTCGTGCCTAAGTTATGCGTCCTCAAAAGGACCTTGTCGTGTGCAAGAGTCGAGAAAATGTAGATTTCAGAGTTGACTTTTAAGAGGAATACCTATATTTGAGAAATCAGTTTAAACTAAGAGCAGGGCAAAGGTTTAACTTCTTTTTGAAGCTGAGTAATGTAGAATACCTAAATTTTTTCGTAAAATTTATACAATGCTTACTCATTTCATGAAATCTCTTCTATCTGAAGGAAAAACTGGAAAATAAACCATTTCTAAACAAATATGGCAACAATTTCTCTTCTGCAATTTCACGACTTGGAACAAAGAAGTCTATTTATACTATTTCTTATACTATTTCAAAAAATTTAAACTTAGGCAAAACGTTTTCTTTCAAAACGCCTTTTCTAAATTCATTTTGTTGAAGAATTAAGCTTATTAAGCTTTCATTTCTTATTCTTTTTCTTCAATATTTAATTTAGTTTATTTATGTCTCTAATTTATATTGCGTTATTTGTCAATGTAATGAACAGTTTTTTTAGTTTTATGTTTTATTGGGTTTTTATTTTGGTTCAATAATTTATTATTATTTTTTATAATTTTATTTATTTATTTTTTATTTTTAATATCTATTGATTTTTATTTTTTCTTCAACCTAACATACCTTTCGGTCTCAAATTGTTTTCACATTCAACATCCACAGACTTATTTGGAGCATTATCATCACATTGATGTAATTTGCAATAAACATAGTTCCCGCATCTTTGACTTGTGCTAGTACGAAGCGTTTATTAAATTCTGCTTCTGTCCAATCAATTCTATTTATGCACATATATCAATCATAATCAATTAGATTTGAAAATTGAACAGCCAAGGGGTTGGCTTACAAGTTAGCATACTTTCAGGCGTCTTTAAACTATTACCCATCATTCAAACTAATGAGGGTAATAAATGAACAATTTAACCTTGTCCACTTGACTCGCGTCAGACCGCATTGAAACTGTAGCACGAATATGATGCCCTTGGCGTCATCATGGGTTAAAAACCTTATCATTTATTAGATTTATAAATCGTTGACGTTGCGCGTACTTTGCACTGACACCGCAAAGGTGGTGCAGGTGTGCGAAGGCTACACCCATACATATCTGGGGGAAAAACGTGCTCAAGCCACGGTCCAACTCAGCAGTTGGGATGTAGGGAGGGGGGGGGGGGGGGGGGGGGGGGGGGGGAAAAAGGAAATCTGCATGCCTGGCACACAGGACTCTAGAGCCCCAACTGACCAACTTTCGGCGGCTGTCCAACCCAACTCAAAAGCAGTGGCAACAGCAGCAGCCATTACAGCATTTTATTTTTTCCTCTTGCGGTTACACATTGATTTATAGACAGGCAGGAGAGAGGCATACAAGAAATTGGTTTATGCGCACATTTTCAAAATTATTTTGCCATTAATTCGGATTTCAACTTTGAAGGGTTCTGGGTGGGGTTGGCGCATATACATTTTAATGGCTCGCCAGAGCACGTGGTTGGACGGTTTGAAGTTATACTTGTATTCATAAGTATATGTACATTTCCATTTCCGGCCCGACTGCACGGCATTATCAAAAAGCTAAATTTTTTATGGCCTTTAAAACATTTTTTATGATTATGGGTAGCCGAAAAATTACTTCAAGTGCCGCGCGGAGACGTTGAGACATAGAAAGTGATTGTTTTTCGGAACATTTTATTTGGCATTTTCAATATATTTAAGGCAGAGATTTGTGCATTGAAAAGCTATTAAAAAAAAAAAATGTACTATAAAAGTGGAACAGCAGCTGTCTTTAACTGAGCATTGTCTTGGAATTTCTATGCATCTGCTTTTTACCAATCTTTTCTAATTATTTGCCTTTTTGTTTTACTTCTTCACCATTCTATTTATTATTGCCTTAGAATGCCATCTTAAGGCCCGTCTGGACCTACGGCATACATATGTATAAATTCTATTTATTTGATAAAATTGTATATTGTACTTGAAAGTTGAAAGTTTAAAAATTCGTAAAATACTCAAAAGAACTATTTTTCCTTTTTACTATACTTTTAACCTTTTTTGTAATTATTTCTTAAATTGTGTTTTTTTTTTTAAAAAGAATTATTTTTTTAAATATATTTTATTTTCTATTTTAATTCAACTTAATTTGTTTTCAAAATATTTACTTATAATTTAATTTTTGAGGTCTACAATTTTCAAATCTAAATTTTATTTCCAAATGTATTTGAAATTTCTTCGAAAATTATCGCCCAACTAATTCAAAAGAAATACCCATAAATATCTCAATCCATACCATTTCTCCACCAAAATATAGCAACCTTTATTTGAAATGCATTTGAAATTTCTTTTCAAATTCGAAATAATAAAAATAATAAGTATTTTTCAATCCATCTTTAGAGTATTTTTTGTGACTTTATCTGAACATGTTCTTAAGTTTTCAACGAATCTGGAAAATTGTTCCATTTACTCACCATTTATGCCGCTGATCAGTGGATAGTTTCCATCACGGCCGCCAATTAAGTTTTTTAAACCAGTTTCGATCAGTGTTGGGGACGATCGCTCCCTGTCGCTCATTTTTTCATAAAAATGTTGTCAATTTTGTGATTATACACGAAATATTTGAAATATAGTTTAAATTGTAGACTTTTTTGCCTTTTTTTCTCTCTTTTGCTTAACAACTTTGGCTTGTTGGTGCTTTGTTTTTAATTTTAGGATTCACAACAATAACGACGAGAAAAAAATGTAAACAACAACAACTTGGCTCACTTTTTTCTCACTCTCCCTCTTCTTCACTGCTTCTGCTTCAGCTTCTGCTTTTGATTTTGATTTGTTTGCGTGCGTTAACTTTGCGTTTTGTTAGCGTTTAGTATGCGCCTCGAATCACAATTGAAAATGAATTTGTATTTTTGTGGTTTTTAATTTTAATTTAATTTAATTAAACATTAAGTATTGCACGTTTATTGCTTGCTATATAGGCATGGATATTTAAACTTATATTATTTGCTAATATATATATTTTTTGTATATATTTTATGCTGTGTATGTATTTGTTATGCTTAGGTATTTATGCTGCTGTTTAGCTGTTTTGGCTATAAATAAAGGCACCGCGAATTCATTCAACAATTTTTTGTTTTATTAACAACAAATGTGTTTTGTGAAACACTTTAAAAGAAATCTGCTCGAATTATAGTTTGATGTGTGTTTGATTTATACTATAAATTTAGTTTAGTTTCGTTTTCAAGGTTTCTACCATTACTTTTTGGTTACTTTTTAGTTGCTTTCAGTTGTGGTAGTAGTAGCTTCTCTTTTTGTTGTTGTAATTCTATTTTATTTTTATTGGCTAATTGCGCTATTTTTAAAGACCTTCTTGCGCGCGTCTTCCTCGTGCATGAAAAATGCCGCGACAGTGATGCGTTTTATATATATTCGTATATATTTTAATTACTTCTGCTGATTTAAATTGTTCTTTATTTTTAGTTGAGTTCTGTTTTTTTAATTTATCTGTTCGACAGGTTTAGAAAATAATGGCATCGAAGTTTTTTACTAAATTTTATTTAAATATTGCATTATTGTACAGTTTTTAAAGCACTAATATGGCATAAACAGTTTGAACAGTTCAGTTTGAGTTTTAAATAATTAATAACGACAACAACAACAACAATTATTGCAATTATGTATTTGCAAAATATAACGAAAATATAATCGCCGGCGTGCGACAGAGACAGCTGTTAATTATGTTGATGATGATGATGATATTATTATTATAGTTGTTGTTGCTGCTTCTGCTGCTGCTGCTGCTGCTGGGGGTGGTGGTGATGGTGTGTGGAGCGCGCGCGCTGGCTTGAGCCAAACACGACAGGAACAGGACGACTTGAGTCGCGCGCCGAACGAGTAAACGACGTTGCCTGATGGCAAGGGCGTGGGCGAGGACGAGGGGGCGGCGCGCAAAACACAAAGCACAGCGTAGAGCGTAGCACGAGGAAAATCGATGAAAAATGTTGACAGCGCACCAACACACAGACACACACACTCACGCCCAGACACACACACGCGCACACACGCTGACACACAATAGCACACGAGCAGGTTTTGCAAAATAATTGGGCACAACTTTTCTTTTTGTATTATTTATCTGATAATTTTCCGATGATTCTGACGGGCACGCGCGCGCGTTTCTTGCGCGTTTTGTGGGCGTTTTAAAACGTGTTGAGTGTTGTCCTTGTTTATTTTAAATATATATGTATATAGGTATATATTTTTGGTTCACCGAAATTTTTTGTATTTTGCTACTAACTGTGCTTTTACGCTCAACGACGCCAGACGTGTGAATCGCTGCGCTTTTCGTGTATGGCTTGCTGCTTTCGCTGCTGCTGCTGTTTGACGACTGCGACTGTGACTGTGGCTGTTCGTTGCTGTCTTCGGCGACGTCTGCGTCGTGGGTGTCGCTTTCGTCGCTGCCTCTGCCTCTGCCTATGCTGGCTGAGCGCGCATGTGACAGGCACACACACACACACACAAATACACAAACAGACACACAACTACGTATGCGGTGAGTGGCGCGCTTTCGAACTTCGAAAGGTCGCGATGTTCTCAACGAAATGGAGTCGTCGTAGGATGCGGAAATGTGCGAGCGCAAGCTTCCGTTATAGTCAGGATGCAATTGTGTGCTCTCTTTGCCGCGAGAGTGAGCTTTCCTTTTCCTCTTGTTGTTGCTGGCTGCGCACGAGTCAGCTGATTTTGTTTTTTTTGCTGTTTGTTTTACGTTGCTTTTGCCGTGTGCATTCGTATTGTTGTTGTTGTTGCTGCTGCTGCTGCTTCCAATGTGCTTTATAGCTGTTTGTATATTTTATTGTTCTCCTTATTTTTCAAACACACACACACACACAATTACAGGTACGAAAGCAGAAACGCGCGGCAGAGACAAACACTGTTGTCGTCGTCGTCGACGCTGTCGCTGCTGCTGCTATTTTGCACGAGCTAAGTTTTTTTCTTCATTTACACTGAAGTGGGTTTTTTTAAGTTGCCGCCGCACACGTGCTCGGGTTTATACTCATGCACATTTATATTTTTTATGAATTTAGCACTGATATATTTAATTTAGTTTTGCCAGCTAGTTCTGTATTTACTTTCGATATTTTTCAATTTATCGCAATTTTATTATTAAAATTATTTTGGGATTTGTATTCCACACGCTAGGCGGCTCGCTCGGGCTGTTTGACTGACTGGCACACACGCTCATTTGATTTTGTGTTCACACAGTGGCCAACTAAAAAAGCAAAGTGTAGAAAAACACGCTCGCATGCTCACACGCTGTTCTTCACACACAGATACAGATACAATTACAAAAACAAATACAGATAGAGGCAGGCAACGGCGCTCCAAGTGAGCATAAAGGGCAAACACACAGATACAACAACACGCATACAAATAATGTATTTACTTGGAATACACGCTGCTCAGCTACAAGTCACGACAGTCGCAACTCGCGACAATGCTCTCCCACTCTCCCAGTCTCGCGCACTTGCGCGCGCTCTCGACGCCTTTTGCTCCAACATTCTAAGGGTATTCCTGATTGGCTGTTTAAAACTCGATTTTGATTTTGTCGATCAGCTGCAATGTGACAAACAAAGCAGATAAAGGCGCACAAATTGCTTGAAAAAAACAAAACGACAAATCATCTCAGGCAGATTTTAGAATTAATATTGTCTAGCTGGGTAGAGTGGCCGTTTTCTGTGCAGTAAAAAATTCCATCGCTTATCGCTTAATTTGTTTTAAATAGACAGTTCTTTAGAGTAGTTTATACACATTTTTATATTTTTATTTCACAGTCTTAGTTCTATTTTGATAGGTCAAGCAACGTTATCGAGTCGGATGCATTCTTAAATATTGTTTTAATTATGCAGATGATGATATTTAACCAAGAAATACATACAATATTTGCAATATTAAAACCATCAGTGAGCAGATATTTAGTAAAATCAAGTCCCATTTGTGTATGTTTTGAATTACTTTATTTAAAAAAAATCTTATCTTAAACAGCTTTTTGGGAATACTCTTGTTTTGCCATAATTTGTTTTTTGGTTGTTCTTTTTTTGGCAAACCTTTTTGTCGCGCGCGCAACTCAGCTCAGCTCATAAACACCCTCTCTCTCAATATCTCTCTCTTTCTCTCTCGCACGAAAAGGCCGGCTGAGCTTTGTGTGTAGCTCAAGTTCTAATACCGTTCTAATGACCGCCGCTCGCTCAATTAGAGGCGCTCTCTTGCGACGCAGCTTTTGGCATTTTCCATTGCGCTCAAAGTTCAATTTGATAGTTTATTTTTATGTTGCTTGCCGCCTGTGTCGCTCATTCCGAGCAGCCGGCGATCTACGTTTATTTCATTTCAGTTCATTCGGTTTTTTTTCGTGTTAATTTTAATTTATATAGTTGTTCTTTTTGTTACCCATACTAACGCACGCACACACACACACAGAGAGGCACTCATGCATATGTATTCACGCTGGTGGCGGCGGGCTATTACGTCAATGCGACGACGACGATGCTGACGTTTGTATTTTTGAGTGTATGAGTGCGACTCTTTGAGTGTATGAGTCTGTCGGCATTGCGGCAGCCAAAGCGCTCACTCACTTCAATGTTTCTGGGCATTAGGTTTAAATTTTTTGGTTTGGTTTTTCTTTTTTACGTTATGTTATTATTTCTAATATTCGTGTGCTGTCAGCAGCGCCGCAGCAGCGCTCACGTGAGTAGTTTTCATCCACGTACAATATTTTTGCAGCTAAAAACTTTTAATGTGTGTGGAAATGTTTTGTTGTTTTGCATTTCGTTGTAATTTGTATAAATAAACAGAACAGCTCAGCAACAACAGACTACCTATGTATAGTTTGCAGTTGAAAATTGAATTTGCAACTCATGTAGAGAGCAGTCAATTAAAGAGCCTTGAATGAGGCACAGAGTTCATGGGTGGTCTTCAACATGAAAGATAATGAACAGCATAGTCAGTTAGTTAGTAGATGAGCAGCTGCTAATAATGGGGCGTATAATTGAATGAATATTACTATCTCCCATGAAAAGATATTTAAAACTAATATTTCTAAAATTGGCGCGTTTTATTGAATGAAAACTATGCCTCATAATTGTAAGATGTGTGTGTGTGTACACAATTAGTCAGTAGAGTCAATTTAAGCTGGCAAATAATTTGCACACAAATTGTAGAACTTCACAAGCAGCTCATAAATATATATATTGTTTTGTTCAAATAGGCTTATAAAGAACTCTGCACTAATATTTGTATTTGCTCAATAAGCTTTTTTCACAATCTATGTGTTGCTTTTATGTTCAATACTGTGAACAAAAAGTAGAGCATCATTATATTAGAATTGAATATATGTTTTATTATAATTTCCCCAATTCTAAAATTTCACTTTTTTAAAGCAATCAAATGTGAAAACGATTTTGAAATACAATACAATTTCGAATTTCTAAATGAAGCGAGATTTAAAAAACAACAATAACTTAAACTGCCCTTGTATTAGGTGTTCCTAAATAGTAAGTGTGAAGCGTCTTTCTGTAGACAATTTTTGAAATAAAAGCGTTCATACTGACAAATATATAAACTCAAATTAATATTTAGTAAAAATTAGAACTATGTTTTAAAAAGTAGGGAAAATAAAATAAATTACTCAATCGAACTCTTAATGCAAACTGTACAAGGTATAAAATGAACTAAATAATTCAATAAATTTCTTGTAAGATATATTTAAATAATTAATATTTGTATGTAAATATTGCAAAGATTTAATCATGAAATCCAAAATATATACACATATTAAGCTAAATTATTCAGCTACCAGTTTGCTTCAAAAATAAATAATTTTCTTTAGATTTCTTTCTGGAAGCAAACGTATTTCGAAAATACAATTTTTAAAAGCAAAATGTCTTCGTCCAATTCTTATACTGAAGACAAACTCATTCCCTTAATCAAAATTATAAATCTTTAATATAGAAATGTGGCACAGCACATAAAATTTGTTGCCCGAACAAATACACACAAATACATAAGTACGTTTATAATTAATTAGCACATAAAGATAATAAATTTATAGGATTATTCTAAATGAGTATTATAGCGCAAAAGTATGCCATAAAGAATGATTTCTAAAAGGTATTGCTAAACTCTGGCGTAGATGCAATCTCAATAAACATTTTTTATTTTTCACGGCAGGGTCAAAAGTTGAACCTATTTTGTTGGATTTTAATAATTTAGACATGCGTCAAAACTCGTGTTGATCAAAGTTTCATTTGAATGGCTTCTCATGTCTTTGCATTTGAATATTTCTATATAAAAATAGTCCTTAATCTGATTTGTCATTGACATTGGGAATTTGAAAGGCATAAAAAAGAATCACAAGGTCAGCCAAACCTTAAATAAATAAAAAATTCAACGCCAATAAAAGTCCTTGCACGCATTTTTATTTCTATACCTATCTGTTTAATCATTCCACAGCGTTTTAATACAAATACAAGTATATATACGATTTTATTTATATTTATAACGCAAGAAACAAACATTTGCTCGCGCCATTAAATTGATTCATTTTCTCGTTCTTCTCTTTTTTTTTTTGTTCATTCATTTCAGCAAAAGTTTTTAGAGCGCTATTCAGATGTTGAAAAATATAAATATCCCAAGCCCATTAGCCCACTTTCCTGTATTAACTATTTTTGTGTGTTTCAGTCCTAATTTCAATTGTTGGTTGGAGAAACTGGCACGGTTGATTTCGAATTATTCAAATCGTAGGGAAAAAACTGTTGGCATCACAAACATCTGACTAAAGCAACAATTGGAACTGTTACAATATAAAATTTTATTTGTTTTGTTATTTTGTAAGTTTTACGGATTATAATAACTTTAGCGAATTTTTCAAAATAACTGTTTATTTTATTGATTTCCTTTATCTATTTTAATGACACTAAAAACACACAATGTTTTACTTTAAGAAATTTCAGCATTTTCCAGCAATTTGTCAAACTTCTTTTTAAAACTTAATCAAACTTTATTATCGAATAATTTGGAAAATTTTAAAAATCATTTGTAACAGTTCACAAACCACATGCCCACATGCGTAAGCTATACAATAAAATTGACAGAAGAATAAAAGGATTTGGCCCTGTCAAAACGCCAGCGCGATTTTAAACTCAAATTTCCTGGTAATATTTGTACAAAGTGTATAAGATGAGTTCAAAATTTGACTTTTTAAAAATATGATTTCAAAAATTATCAATAATCATTACTCAGACTCATTTGAAACCAAGGAGGGTTCTATGCCGGCTTTTCCTTAAGTCTTTTGAATGGCTAAGACAAATTTAATTTTCGGTTAAGATATAAGTTCACGAGTCTAAGTCGGGCGACTTGATTGATGCTTCAGTCACAAGTGCCAACCGATGGCATCCAGTTTTGATTATCAAGCAACTTGTGCGGAACAAAGAAAGAACAGACAAAACTGTTCGGTTAAAATATGAAAATATTCAATGCAACTAGTTTCATTGAAAAACAATTCTGTATATTTTCATTTTTTAAAATGTTATTAACCCTTTCAGCTAGCGATGAAGACCTTCAGCCGAACCCATTTTAGTGCGCAGACCAAATGAAAGCGTTTATAGTATCTACCACAAGAATATCTATATCTAAGCTTGTTGGCTATTTCTAGTGGCCGCTGACATGAGTCACGGTACAGATACGCCTCACACACAGAGATATGGTCGCATAGACGTAGTATGGGTAGAGAAAGAGCCCAAAAATATGCGCAACTTATACTTAATACCCGACCAAGAAAGCTGTCGCTTGTCATCATGTGACATTTCTCAATGAAACGCCAACGCCAAGGAAGGAAGACGAGATAATATTGTGGCCCAAAAGACAGAGGTCGCCTACCATATATCAAGAAGGTATATAGTTCAGTCGGAAATGAGCGGATCGCCGAGACAAACGTGTTCGCAAGCCCAATAAATTATAAATGAGCCCCAGCCATGTCGTTGGGTTATGGAAGATAGAAGCTGCAATGCAACAAAGGAAAAGCTATTATACAAAAATATCTAGATATGTAAACAGATATATACTATATGCATGTGGTGGGTGCCACATTTTGTTCAACAAAAATTAGAAAAATATTTGGGCAGAGCGCACAACAGTCCGCCTGGCTGTCCGTCTGCCAGTCTGTCCGTCAGC